TTTTACACCTAATAGTCCTTTCTTCTTTCCTTCCTTAACTATCTTTTCTAAGAATACCTTTTATTGCCTACCATGCAGTCTATCTTCTTACGCTTAATAGTCTATTCTTCAACAAAGAAGCATCTTAACCTCAGTGAGTACTTTGTAAAATTTTAAAATCTTCATTTGCTTCCACCTTTTAAAGCTTTAAGAGTGGCACTTTTCTTTACATTTATGTGCCATTCTGTATGATTCTACTTAGCATGTAAAAATTTTATGTTTGGCGCATATGTCTTGATTTGTTTGTTTACTTGTTTCATTACGACTTCGCTATCATTGTAAATTAGAGCTATATTTTGATAAACATAATTTTAGCCATTTTTTTTCTATTAGAAAGTCAATGAAATTTGATTTTATCAGAAAGTTGTTTCCCTGTGTCGTGCCAGATAATTTTTCTCTCCAGAATCTATCTTACATATCTGTAAGTCTACCATTCGCCCATGCTTAGAATATTGCTGTTACATATGGTCCTGTTCTCCTGCTATTTATTTAGAGATTTCTGATAAAACCCAAAGAAGAATCAGCAATATTATTGGTCCTGATCTGGCGTCTCAGCTTCTGTCACTTTCCCAGCGCCAAGTTGCTTCCCTGTGCTTTTTCTATACATACTATACATACTTTCATGATAAGTGAGCTCTTCGCTATGGTACCTAGATTTTATAAATTTAAGCGCAATACTAGATTGACAACAAGATCTCATCAATTTACATTTGAATTGGTTAGACATAACCGTAAGTCCTATGCTGACAGTTTCTTTTCTCGCACTTCTCGCCCGTGGAACACTCTTCCAGCTACAGACTTCCCAGCCAACTTCGATCTTCAAAACTTTAAATGCAATGACAAGGATTATTTACTGTCTCCCTGATTATTCTTGTATTGTTCTCCCTCTTTCATAATGCTTTCTAATTCTTTCACACCCAGTAACTCCTTCTATTTCTGTGGATTTACTGATTTGCTTGGGGTAAATTCGATTAAAAAAATCTATATGCGTCACGCTCAGAAGAATGAATAAAAATTATGGTCAATGTGCTAATGTTATGTCTATACTATTAGATATTCTTAGGTGCCTAATAAAAGGGGGTTTAATAATTGGGGAGGTAGGAATTTTTCTCAATATTCAATAAAGTGTTGGTCTTAATAAAAAGAGATGTCGGAAAAACATTTAACGGTTAAAAAATGCTGAATTAATAAAGTGGGTGGTTTTAATAAGTTTCGTGGTGGGGGTCAGAAAATTTTCTCAAAAAAAAAAAAAGTAAACGCCCACCCTTCTATTGGACACCTAAGAATAGTCGGGTATCGTCTCCCATGGGCACCGCATTTACTGCTTCCGTAACCGCAGTGGTGTGTCTCGGCTAAGATAACCTGATGGAGCACATCATTCTCCAAGTTGGTTTTGAATTCAGAATTTTCCTTCTCCTACACTGGCAGCCATTCAAGGCAAAAGAGCCCGGTCCGCCCTGTTATTTAATATATAATTGGCAGAAGATGAAGTCATACCCCTTCCAATGTCATTAACCGGAATTGAACAAAACGGAATCCACCAGAAATTGAGTCGTCGATTTCCATTTACTTACCGATAACCGTTGCGCATTTAAAAGCATCTTACTCAATACGCATTATTAGATAGACACATGAAATAGCTGACATATTCTTTCTTTGGGTGCGTTTTTGTTTGCATCTTGTTATTTGGAACGGGGGATCAGAGAAAACTGATTTTCCAGGCTTCAGTTCACCATTATCCATAGTTAATATATGAATTACCAAATTTACCTGTAATATACATTTGTCACAAATTGTAGCATCTCCTTAACTTAAAGATATAAATCTGAGTCACACTTAGTTCTTCTGAAATGGCCTGTATTCTGATGTCTATCAGGAAATAAAGTGAGATTTATTTACTAGCACATACCCAGAACTTAACATCTAAATATGTTCGCAGCAAAAATTCTAGCTTGATAACTGAAATTAAGAGATATTCTGGTAGTTGTATAATTTACAATCGATTTTCCGATTTTGTTGACACTTTACAACATTAAATTATTGTTTTTTTTTTATCCCTATTTCTTCTTCTTCTTCTTTGACATTTATGTTCCTCCTCCTCCCCCTCCTTCTCTTCTTCTTCTTCAATCCCGTCCACGTTGCCTCGATGGTCACATGTTCACTATTAAAAGCCTCATAAGTTTAATGATAAAAAAAACAAATGTTGTCTTGCCTTTTCTGCCATTATAGAGTAGCATGCTCATAAAAATTTCGCTCAAACACCATACAAAATCAAGCGTTTTAAATAGACTGTAATCTAATCTGAGCTTGTAACAGCCACTGAATATTGATTGTTAGATATTATTATTGTTTTACACTTACCAACGAAATGTTCATGCCGATTCGATTATCGAATAAAACTAAAATTATTTCTTGTAACGAAACAATGAATAGATTTTCCATTCCAATAAGGTCAACATTTTTAAATGCAAAATCAATACAAATTATAAGCAGTTAAACTGGACTTGTGCATTAATCTATGGCTAATGGTTAATGATTTATTATACTTTTAGATTCAATGGAAGAAAGAACTGAAAAGGAAGGAATCTAGAATTATATATTTTATTTTCAAACTTTAATATGAAAATATTTAAAAAAAACAATTTAATTTCCAGTTTTGGCAGAGAATTTATATTTTTTCAATTACGTGAGCTTTGGCTGGCAATAGTGACTTGAACTTCACTAAGTACCTCACACTTGAATCTTGTATCAGATAAGACGAAATATATTAAATATCTTAGCAATCATTTTCTTACAAACCCCGTGAATGATAAAGAAATATTTTTGAAAATTTTGTCCAAAGCATCTCAAAAGAAATTTATTAACAATGTATTAAAACACGCACAAATTTCAGTGAACGGCAGGTATTCCTCCACAGAAGGTAATATCTTCTAAGGAAAGCACTTATATTTAGTAGGATAGTGCTTAGCTTGATTGTATTATATCAGGTCATCCCATAAGTTCTGTCCGAATAATAACTTTTTGTTAAAATGAACGAAATTTAAAGAGTATTTTATAATGTCTAATGGAGTTGAACATTATTTTTATGTTTAGATGCATTTAAACTGATCAAATTTTATTTCAGAGAACAATAAAATTAATTTTTGTTTGATTAAAACCCTGCTAACATGGAAGTACCCAAGAATCATTTGAGGCACATAATGCTTTATGAGTTCAAGAAAGGAAACTCAGCAACCGAAGCGGCTAGAAACATTCACTCAGTTTATGGAGAGGAATGTGTGAATGAAAGAACTTGCAGAAGATGTTTTGCAAAATTCAGAGGTGGAGATTTCACCATTGAAGATGAAGATCGAACCGGACGTCCAGTTGAGTTTGATGAAAAGCTTCTTGAAGCAGCCCTTGAAGAAAATCCTGCTTTATCAGTTGAGGAATTGGCAGGGGTTCTCAGTTCAAACCATACAACTGTTCATCGTCATCTTCAACAACTTGGAAAAGTTCCTAAACTTGGAAAAAGGGTGCCTCATGAATTGTCACAGCCGAGAAGGGAACTTCATGGGCAAAAGGTTCTTCTTTCAATCTGGTGTGATCGCCAAGGAATAATCCACTTTGAATTCTTACCACCTAATGCAACAATTAATGCTCAAATATACTGTCAGCAATAAGAGCGTTTGAACCAAGCTTTGAGGAAAAAAAGGCCTGCTCTAGTGAATCGAAAAGAGGTGATGTTTCATCAGGACAAAGCGCGACCCCACACAGCAAGAATCACGTCACAAAAGATCGAAGAATTTGGTTGGGAGAAAATTCCTCATCCACCTTATTCTCCCGATCTTGCCCCTTCAGACTACCATTTGTTTCGTAGCTTACAGAATCATTTGGAAGAAACAGCTTTTGTAACACAGGAAGAGGTTAAAACTGACATTTGTGAGTTCTTCGAATCAAAGCTAAAAGAATTTTACAGTAATGGAATTAGTAAGCTTGTTAATAGATGGAAGGAAGTCATAGATAATCAGGGAAAATATATTGTTGATTGAATCTGTAATTAAATGTAACATTTGGTCACTTGTTTTCTTTATTCAAAATTCGGACAGAACTTATAGGATGACCTGATAAATCCCTGAAATATTCCATGTGAATGTCCGTAAGAAATAATTAGGCTTTGCTTGTTGGTTCGATCCTCAATGGTTCCACCACTATTTTAGTTTTGCGCCAGTTCTAATAAATAGCAATTACTGAAGTCTTTGAAGAGTGCTCTAGAAGTCTATCTTAGTTCAACAAATGTCTATCTACTACCAATACTGCTTAGTAATTACTATAGGGTTATGCAACTGTCATTGGAAGCACTTCGACCTTGTGTAATGGTTAGTAGTCCTTGCTAGATCAATTACGACTGATTCGTGAGTTCGAGCCTCACTGAGTGCTCCATACTTTCGGTCTTCTGCCACATCTAAGCTATGCTTAGTAAATCACTATGCAACTGTCATTAGATTGGTAATGCTGCTTAGAGTGTGGATATATGCTAGAACAAATCGTTTCTTCTTGTCATATACATTCAGTATCTGGTTAAAATCAGCGACAATGTTGTTAGTATGTTCTTGTTTGAAATGGGACATTTATAATGTTTTCTGAAAGCTGTTAGGGTGTCACCCTCTATAACATGTCACTTGGATTTACGTAGGGCGACATTCCAACGTTAGGCTTTTGTCTTGTTTACTTTTTTGTTTGTTTGTTTATTTGCTTGCTTGATTTATACCAAAACGAAAAACAGAAAATTACTAAAATCTATCCCATGAGATCCAAAAATGGCTTAGAATTATATCAAAGAAATAATTAAATTAAAAAAAACAAAAAACAAGTAAAATATGTTCTTCAATGAAAAATAATGAGAACAAGAAAAACAAACAATATCAAACTATACTGGACGGCAAGATTGTCTATAAAGCTACTCAGATACAGTGGGGGGCTTACAACCATATCATGTTGAAACATTGGTACCCGTATGATCACAGAAGTTAAGCAACGTTGAGCCTGGGCAGTACCTAGATGGGTGAGCGCTTGGGAATACAAGGTGCAGTAAGCTTAAATGCGAAGGTGGTGTAATGGATAAAGGCTAGGAATTTGAACTCGGAGTGCCGAGTTCCAAATCCAGTTGAATTCGTTATATACACTTACACGGAAATATCCTTGGGAAAGGTATGAAGCCACGTCTTCTTCCCCCAGCTATGGGTCAATTAGGATTTGTATCAGTAAGTCGTTATTAGCCCCCCAAAATTCTTATAATCTAAAAATATTTTCTGTCTTTAAATAATCTACAAACGGTTGACATGCCGTAATAAACAAATCAATCAATGAAATACAGAGAAGATGTGGTGTCATTTATTTTTATAGGACCAACTATTAATGGAGGTAATAAAACGAAAAACGGATCGAAAAAAAAAAGAAAATTACCAGAAGTTACTCGAAGAATTACAAGGGTCGGTTCTGTGCTCATAATAATTGGCGTACTTTGAACAAATGCAGAAACATGACAAGAAGAATCAAAGATTCAATGCGGTCTGCTTATCCTAAGGTAGGGATTCAATGGAGTCTGCTTAGACTAGGGTAGGGATTCAATGGAGTCTGCTTAGACTAGGGTAGCTCTGGTGTCGATCCATGATATCCTCTGCTGAGAATACTATGGATCGAACATGTGAATAACAAAGAGGTTTTGGAGAAAAACTTCTGTGGCACGTATTGAGGAGGAGGTGTTGGAAAACCTGATAATCACAGGACAGAGTGGGGGAAAGAGGAACAGAGAAAAGTAGTAACATACTTGATGAGCTTAAGTGAATCGATGGTAGAACAGGGTCTGGGAGAAATGACAAAAATACAAAACGTATTAAGAGCGACACGGGACAGGAAGTTGTGGAAGGTCATTATCGCCTACGCCCTGAAGGTACACGGCACATAAAAGAAAGAAGGAATCATTCAGTCGATGGCATTATTGAAAACAAGTAAGATACTCCGAAGAATGATGGATTCTTGAAAAGAGCAGCTGTCATTTAAGCTCTAGTGTTGGCTACCAGTCACTGCTAGAATGAACATGATTAAATAATAATAATAATAGTAATAATAATAATAATAATAATAGCATAGATGAATTAAAGCAAAGTAACCGTAGTAGCTTGTGTGTTTGTTTGTTTTGTTTGTTTAAGGGTATATCAACTCCTTATGTGTCAGTTAATGCTGAAATGCAATTTTCTTGTGAGCTTTGAAGTAATAAAACATGATATATGTTATTCTGCTTTTACAGTTGAATACCTGGTAGATGATACTCAGCTTTTGTGCATATACATGTTTGTCTGGAGATAATTACTAGCGACGGTTATGTGTTTTATGTTGTTGTTATATTTTGGAGTTCAATTTGATTTAAGACATTGTATGATATTATATAGAATAAAGTTATGAAGGAATTCTTTCATGTTGGTTGTTTGGTTGAATTTGTTTAGCAGCATATTAACCTCTACGGATTATTTGATAGCGAAATTTTAATATTTTGAACGGAATTGCACGCTTTCAACTATAGATTGTACTGTTGGTCAATTTGCTACAAATAGGAATTGGTAATATTACTATAAAAATGTATTTTTATACTTTTATAGTGTTTTGTTTTTGTTTGGTCGGTTCACTATTTGCCCATAGATGGGACCCTAACAGGTGCTACCACCCCGGGTCAGGGTAGACTTGAGAACAACAACAATTAAGAGGTGGTGCCACGCTCCTCAAAACCTGCAATCTCCCAATCAGAGGTTTTCTACTGGATGTAGTTTATCGTCATACCCAGGACTAAGCAGCAGCAGCAGTAGTAGTAGTAGTAGTAGTAGTAGTAGTAGTAGTAGTAGTAGCCAACATTGGCCAATCTGAAAAATCGTTTGCTTCGATATTTTTAGTAACATACCGTAAATTGCGATGTACATGTTAACCTGGCATCAAGATTTTTAGCTCAAAATTCTGAGATAATCATATACCTACCATATAGATTGACCCCAAAACATACGGTAAGCTACCATTGGCCCAAAACTTAAGCCTGCCGGTAACTGAAGTTAGGCTACAGTATTCAATAACCTGTACGAAAACTACGTAAATTCACACCAGTTACCTGTATATTGTGACACTAATAGCTTTCTACATGCGTTGCATAGCAAACAACCTATACCACACACCGATAGATACCGTATATTGTATCGGTATAACTTAGGGAACTTTTAAAATTCGTCTGATCTACTGATAAATGTATTAAAGTCAACATCGACTCCTATAAAATATTAATACCGTAGATTACACATCTTACAAAGTATTTTTTATAGTACTGCTACGTATCACATGTTATTGTAAAACACAATATCACACTCATCCGCCATTTGCACCAACGATTTAAACAACCAGTGACACCACCAACCTCATGCGGCGAACTATAGTGATATATATTTGCGGCAGCCTGTTGAAGGTACGGTAAGCGATGTTTAGTAATTGTTAGGAGTGTTGTCTCACTTTTTTACAACTCGGTGGTAAAGGACCACTAGTTTTGGAAATATTTTTTTAGGCTTGAAAATTCGACTTCACTAATAATAATAATTTTTTTTCAAATACAGTGTAACCCTTATATAAGAGACTCGGATATAAGAGAACCCCGGATATAAGAGAGATTTTCTCTGGTCCCAAATTAGAGCCTGTGTTAATGTATATAAAATAGACCAAACCCGAATATAAGAGAAACCCGGATATAAGACACTCATTCTTCTCCGTCCCGACAACTCTCTTACATCCGGGTTACACTGTACCTCCATTCCTGAAAGAATTATTATTTCCCAAGCCAACATACATAATTCTAAAAATGTTAAAAAATTAAAAGAAAACGGTTAAATTTGTAACCTCATGTTATTTAAAATATCTAGCACAAAAATAATCCCAAATTAAAATAATTTAAATACTAATTTGCATGAAAAAATTTAAGAACATCATTTATTCACTCTCGTTTATTAGTCATAGCTTGCCTAGAATTTTCTCCATAGATTGCCTAGAATTTTTGGCTAAACTCATGAATATTTATGAGTGTTCTTAAATTTAAAAATTTTGAAAAACCAATAACATTTTTGCTCTTGAATATAAATACTTGTTACAAAATAAAATAATCCTTACATTTGTCTTGATAAATCCCCTCAAAGGACGAAACGGGTCGGCTAAGATAAAATTTCCTTTTGTCTTTATTTATATATATATATATATATATATATATATATGCCCTTTAAGGAACTGTGTTCCTGATCAAACCGGACTCATAAATAATTACATCGGTTACACAATCACATGCTTATCCAGACGTCTTACGTTACACCTATCTGATCACAGCTCCATTAGAACCCATTTAAACACACACACAAATTCACCAGACTCCATTAGGAAAATACTAGTAGAAAACACACATATATTAACTGCATCCATCTGCAAAGAAAGACTAAAAATAATGGAAGCTTTAATAATAAAAAAGAAAAAGCCAACTTTTAACAATTTTAACTACGAACAAAGCCACAATGTGCTAACCGAATTCGGAAATTAAAAACATCCCTACCACACACTAAGACATACACACTCAATTAAGCTGAAAAATCGAATCATCCTTTTTTATGGCTAAAGGTATAGCCGAATGCGCTCGGAAATATAAAACATTTGGACAGTTCTTACACAGCCTTTGTCCAGAAAAGAAAGCTCTTGTTAGAACAAAAAGAAAAATTAAATAAAAAGCTTAACCGTAGTACCTTGTCTGTCGTTTTTAATGAAACATGCATATATATATATATATATATATATATATATATATATATATATATATATATATATATATATATATATATATATATAATAATAATATTATTTCCGACATTTTATAAATGTGAATATTCTACCAATTGAAACATTTTGATAGCACCAAAGAGCCTTGCAAATTGAAATAAATAAAATAAATAATGTTTATAATTACTGAAATTCCGAGAAACGTTTTAAACCGTCTAAGCAACAGAATGACTATTATCAGCTAAAATAGAATAATGCATAAGTATTCCGTGAACTTGCTTTCATTTGATCTCCGGCAAAAGGTACACTTTCAGTCGGAAAACTCAACGAACACACACACACACACATATATATATATATATATATATATATATATATATATATATATATATATATATATATATATATATATAAAGTAACTAATGTTTGAGGCCATTTAAAATTCCATCTTTTTGCCTTTTCAGCTAGATTTATCCCGCTTATGCAGCAAAATATGTACCGGCCTCTGGTATCGTATTTTAGTGTCGACATCAACACCATCTAGGAAAGCACACCGCCACATCGATTCAATTTTGCCTTTTCCTCCTCGAATAAATCTTCAGTGGGAGAAAGGGAAGTAGAAATCGAAAATTCACCAAAGAGAAGAAATGATTCATTTCTTTTTGTCATTCCTTTTGCTTCGATTTTAATTTTTACTCGACGATTCTGATCGTAAATCTGCACAACAGTGCCATATGTCCGCACCGCCATCCACAGACGGCCCAGTCTTGGCGAGCATGTTACTGCACTCCCGGGAAGAGCTGATTAAATTTTATTGATAGAAACCGAAATGTAGAGGATATACTTAATCGCATGCCTAGCAGGATCACTTAAAACATGTTGACAAGTAGATGTGATGATAAGGGATTATTTTCACATGCGGAATAATAATTAGAACTGCGCTATTTGCTTGCTTTGTATTCTCTGACTATTGTTTTCTTTTGCTATATTCATATTTACCATTTTCTTCCGCGAACACATATTACTTACGAGAAACTACAATGGATTTGGCTCAAGTGATAGAGGAGAGGAACGAAAATTGAGAGGTCTAAAATTTCCAAATGCTGAGAAAAATAATAATAAATGCAGGAAAAAATAATAGATTTAATTATTTTAAACACACACAAATGCATATCCACATCTTTTTGTTATCCATCTGTAACCATTAGAGGCGAAATGCATTATCGGATATTATTTTCGAAACATACT